GTGTGAAATGTGGCTCTCTTTGCAAGCACATCTAACATCTAAGGAAAGAAGAGCTTAGAGTGGTACCAGATAAAATAATTTTGTTATCAACATTAATACATTATGCTAATTTTCATCTTTGTAAGCGCATAAGACAGTGCAAAGTATTTCTGTGACAGTCTTTTGAAGTGTGTAAAGCCCCATTTTATCCCATACATAGTCAAAATATTGGGGGGATGATACAATGGACCATCCCCCCATGTCAAATATTGGGGGAGATATATCCCCCATCCCCCCGGGATCTACGCCTATGCTACCGAGTGAGGAGTCGGATTCCGATTCTACCTCTGAATCAATATAGTATTCAGCTGAATGAACGCTGTGTAGATTCCCCTCTTTAGAGACTCCAGCACATGTTCCTCTACGAGTTGACTTGACAAAACGAGCGATGCCCATACTTTTTAGATGTTGCCAAAGATTAACAGGTAAGCGGAAATTAGTATAGGCCTACTGATTTTTTTTCGGACATCTTTTAGAACAGAAGGTGAGTATGTTATTTTATTTTGATGAGGGTATTCATATCATGTAAGCTCCTGATCCTTCTCTGTTCTCAGGGCCTGGGTTTTAAAATACATCACCGCAGATCAGAATTTCGAAGTTGAAGCTTGCAGAAATATTGCAATAGTAAGAAATCCTTGAATTGAGATATTACGGAAGCCCGTGTCAACAGTGAATAAAAATTTCAAATCTGTTAACTGGCGGCCTCCAGATAATTAAGTGGCGGCCGCCATATCTGGTTTGAAATTTTTATTCACTGTGCTTCCGTAAGATATCTCTTCCTAACAAATCCAGAAAATGAGACAGGATACTTCGATTGAAAAACACTTAAGTTCTTGTGTGGATGATCGGTGATGGTACCGTAATATAACCCAACCTATGCTAGGCCGAAGAACGGTACGGTAGAATACAGGAATACGACAGACTGACACGTGCCTTTGGTCATGAACATTTGAAGTTAAGGATACTATGACTGAGCCTGGAAATTCTCGCTGTCAAAAACACCTGTATATACTCACAAACATGAAAATGAAGATCAATGTAGCTTAACACACACATCTACGAATGAATAAATGTAATACGTAAAAAGTGAATAATACTGCAAATTCAGGGTGTTACAATTGTATGCGCGACACCATCATGTTTCACAGTCAACCTCAAATTTTCAGTATTGTGCATATGAGTTTTTATACAAGTATAAATATCCCGGGCTGGTAGTTTACTATAGTTACAATTGAATTTTATATTTTTCTGCCAGTATTGTTAAATTATTAGTTTTTTTATATGTTGTTACATATTGTTTTATCTATTTTGTTTTCTTATAATTTTTTTAAAATACAAATATAATATAAATATATTGCAATATATTATTGTGTGATTTTTGTAACTTTGAAGGAATACCATAAACTGAACAAACAATATGAACAGAGACATGGAAAAAACAGCCAAGAAAGCACATGATGATTTGATGGACCTTATTTGTCGTGACTTGAAAGAAAAAGAAGTCAAGTTATACAAGAAACGCCTTAGCACTCCCGAATATGGAGGATTTAGGGCAGGGGAAGTTGAAAATATGAAAACCATGGAAGATGTTTTATCTGCTCAAGAGAAGCGAAGAATTTTTACCATTGGCGATTATAGTATGCTTAAAGAGCAGTTACAAAATATTCCCCATGATTCACTGGTGGTGGTAGTCACACAATATGAAAAAAAACTGAGAGATCAAGGTAATGAAATATTAGTGGTGGTTAAAGCTTATCAGGTTGGGTATAACACTTTAAAAATGCATTTAAGTTCTCTACATAAAAAAGAAATTAAGTTTAATTGTATCTATTTTTTCTCCAAATTAAATCCTTGTCTATTTATGTATTTTATATTTACGAATTTATCATTCATGTCAAAAATAAAAAATAAAAAATTGAAATTTATGCTAGAAAAATGCTTTAATAACTATTAAATTTTTACCATTGGCGATTATAGTATGCTTAAAGAGCAGTTACAAAATATTCCTCATGATTTAATATGAAAAAAAAACTGAGAGATCAAGGTAATGAATTAGTGGGGGTTAAAGCTTATTAGGGTGGGTCTAACACTTTAAAAATGCATTTAAGTTCTCTACATAAAAAAGAAATTAAGTTTAATTGTATCTATTTTTTCTCCAAATTAAATCCTTGTCTTTTTATGTATTTAATATTTACGAATTTCTCATTCATGTCAAAAATAAAAAATAAAAAATTGAAATTTATGCTAGAAAAATGCTTTAATAACTATTTGTTTAATATTTTTTATAATGTTTCATTTATCTTGTTCCCAGGTGTTACAATTAAACAAAAACAAGAATGTAAGTGATTGTAGATCTTTTCAATTATTTGTGCAGATGTTGCATTAAGCCAGGCATATTATCATAATGACTATTGACCAACAGATTAAAATATCCACTTTGTCTGGGCAGTTGCCGGCCTAATGCCGTCTTGAGTGGATTATCAATAAAAACAAGTGCACACTTTGTCAGCTTTTGTGTTCTCGAGCAAATCCCGCCGGCCCACTGGCCTACAATTGTCGCCCAGTATGTGACTAAACATTCGCAAATGTCATACAAAGGTCCATTGCTTGGGTTCTCTTTCACATTGTGTAGAGATAAATGACCTTATCTGAATGAAATGTCTGTTCTGTTGAATTGCCCAAACACATCTGACTAGGATAATCAATAAAGTTCATAATTTTCAAATTTAAAGTAATGATATTGATAATGATATTACTTTTATTGCATGGGGAGAAGAGATTAAAAAAATAAATTTTAAAAATAAGTGTCTCCATTCACTGGTAATAAACGGTACAGTACGATAGAGACTACACTTCTCTCGCCCATTAAGAGCGTTATAAGCTTTTTAAAGATACAAATCACAAATAACTAGTTTTAGTGTTGATTATAGGGATGATGACTATGACATTGACAGAGCTTATATTATGATGCTTTCAAACCCTTAGCCAGGGGCTTCAAGATCACCCTTTTCCAGAATTTTCTTGTTAAAATTAGCTCCAGACATTGGAAATTTGGCATTTTTTTATAAATCTTGGTGAGGCTTAGTTGAATGTGGCCCAATGTGAAAAATTCGAACCCCCTTTGAAACTTACTGACTACTATTATTAAATTTCATTTGCTTTATTTATTCAATATTAGCTATGGATGCGGAACCGTATGTAACATCTCCTGGTTTAACCAATACACCTGGGATTCCTGCTCGCAAAGACCAAGGCGATTGTTATCCTGCTGGTAATGGATATGTCGTGTATATCTCAATCTTTGTTAAAGAAAAAGACCATACAGGACATTCTCGAGATGGTAAGTGACACTAATTTATTTTTTATTTATTTCATCTTTACCCTGGTTTACTTGGTCAGTGCAAACACATTGTTATCCCCAGGGCCCAGCAACACATACAGTAAAATACAATCAAATGACAACAATTGAGAGAAAAGTACAAAGACAATCAAATTATCAAATTCATATTATAACATACGTGTGTACCTTCTTCATAATTTTAATAATGAGGATTTTAATTTGCAAAAAAAGCATTTAATTTTGTAGAGTTTATGATAAATTGCATAGTGGTTTTAGTAAATACGATATTTGAAAGTTCCGCATTTGTTTTGCATAAAATATGTCAAGTTTGTTTTGTAATTGTCAGAAAGGAATTACAGAATATTAAGTATAAGTCAATTTTTATCTTTAAGGTGTACTAGTAGACAAACGAAACATTCGTCGTTTCTTTAAAGGTAGAGAGTTTACGTTTGAATTCTTTGAAGACACACGAACACCAGAAGAATTGTGGGAAATCATTGATGATGTAAAAAAGGATGCCGAGGACAGCAGCAGTTTCTTCTTTATCATCTCAAGCCATGGCAAAGGGATCACATTGAAAAACGAGTCTGGTGGGGCTGAATTACACAAGGATACCCAAAAGCCAGTTGTCATTTCTGTAAGCCTTTGGGTGTTTTTATTTCTTAGATCTTTTTCAGCTAATACTGTAAGGTATGATAGTTAGAGGTGACTATACAAATATACTCTATACAATAACAGATTCAGAATAAATTCTTAAATCAGGAATATGAAGAACGCATTATAATTAGCCAAATTAAAAGGGTACCGGTACACCTTTTTAACATTTTCTTTTTTATTTCTATTTTATTATACCTTGTTTGACATTTTTGACAATTTTTTTCTTTACTTCTATTTTATTTTACCTTGTTTGAATAATGATTTACATTATTTTTATTTTTTACATAATTAACCAGTAAATAACATGCAGAGTTTCTTGCATGCATGTACACAGGGATGTAGTTGAGGTGGGCGAGGCCACCCAGACTTGGAAGTTTTCCACCCAGTCTAGAGCTAATTTCATGGCCCTCCGCCAACCCTTATTAACTAACTTTTCCGTTCTTAAAATCCATTCTTATTATTTAAAGTTTACCAATGTTATCACCCACCCTTAGTTTTTTACCTACAACCCTGTCTTGTCTTATTTTTTTAAGATAAGTGCATTACTGAGAATTATTTTAACCTTTATCAATGTTTCAACAAGAAAATTTCACACTCTACCCTTTTGTTTTTCAATTATTTTTGTAAGCCTTAAAGAATACTCCATGAAAAGAAAGCCTGCAACCCAGTCCTTAGTCTAGTGCCTTCAGTTAAGTGATTCAAGTGTGTGCTATTTTCTATCTTGTAAATTATACAATATGTAGTGAAGAACCAACTTCTGTCCGTCATGGCGAAGCAATCTGTGATTGTTCAGTTTATTCCTTGTCTACACTAAGCTGGGCGTAAACTGCACCATTGGCGGGCGAAATGCTATCGAGAACATGACAACGCACTAAACAGTAGATCATTGTTATTTTTAATGAAGATTCACCCATAAGCCAGTATTGGCAGGCCTTTGTAAAAGGGTGAGACGCTAATAAACATAATACTACTAATCTACAACGAAGTGACCAGTGTCCCATGCCACCTATGTGCAGGCTTCTGGTTAGCATCTTCCAATTTCATAACCTGCCACATTCACCAGTTGCCCATCACCATAGGACTTGATAAGGTTGTTTGTGCTTGTACAGGTAGTGTGCATGAAATGTGTATTAAGGTGGGATACCCATTGCACAGAGGGTATCACACACTCTTGGCTAGCTGAGGTGAGCAGATTCCTGGTGGCACAGAGTAGTGAGACGACCAAGTAGTTCAGATCAGTTGCAGTTGAACTCCCTTATGCGTCTTGGAACTGCCTTTAATGCTTTCCTCGAAGCATGATGTATACCTACTTGAGGATGGACATACCTGTAGTATGTTGTCGCATGCTGGGTACAAAGTAATCTGCACCCTTCCCGTTTCCAGAAGCTTGTCTGTTATATGCCTTAAAAGTGTGACATCTGCAATCCTGTTTACCATAGCACTACTATTACTAACTACTACTACTACTACTACTACTATTAATTCTAATACTGTACTACCAAGCCATTTTAAAAATTTTGTGAAACACTTAATTCATTGTTTTGTTTGTATTGTATATGTTTGTGTGCTTATCCATTTTGGAAGTTTTATTTTTGATTGAAATTGAATAACAGCTTGAGAAAATAAGTGTTAAGACCATATTAAGTGTTAAGACCATATTCCTCTTTATTAAATAATTTTAGGAAGAAATCCGGTTGGTAGAGACCAACGCATATGTTCGAGTTGATGAAATAGTGTCAAAGTTTGAACATTTTATGATTGGTAAGTTATGTATAATTTTAATTAATTAACTGATGTACAAAATTAATTTGTAAAAAAAATAATTTGATTTTTGTGGTCATCTTGATAGGATATTTATGTGGGGTGGCCGTTCCTGAGCCCCCTTTTGGAAAGTAAAAAAGGAGAAAAAAAGAAAGAAAAAAAATTACCAATCGCCCAAAATGCCTCAGAGGATATTTCCGGGCGTCTAGAAAACAAAAATTTCCGGGGAATACCCCGACCCCTAGGGTAGTGTTGTCTATCGGTCGCCCCCACCTTTCGGACATCTTTGGATCCATCCCTGATAGTGTTGATTTATTAAGTTTTCTGTGAAAAGTTTGAAATGAAATAAAATTACGTTGAAAAAAACCATTGCAAATAGAGGATGAAAATAAAATATGAACTTGCCTGCGGTAATGATAATACATACATTTTGAATGTTGAAAAATGGAATTTATATCCGATAAAGGCAACTAATCTTTCACTAAACTTTGCACACGCATAGTTCATTAGTTCTTGCGAATGTGAGAGATCAATACATCCTTGTCATGCATTTGAATGACAAGATGGGATCTCTGAAAAATATTTTCAAAATCAATCATGGTGCAATAAGGTAAACTGCAAACCATCTTGTCGTAATTCTATAAATTATTTGTATTCCCAATGAAGCCTCAATGGCCTAGTTTGAGGTTTCTGCATAAACAACAAGGAGGTCAGGTTTGA